CTAGAGAATGGCCTCATCAAGGAACCCTGTGGGACCCCCGAGTATCTGGGCAAGCAGGGGGTAGGGCAGGGCGGGGGGCAGCTTTCAGGGAGCCTCTTTGGGCAAAGGGGAAAAGTTCCTATCCTGGAAATTGGCTATGGATGGTTCCAAATCTGGCCAGGCCTAATACTGACCAGCATGTGGACACTGTTTGTAGCCCCAGAGGTGGTAGGTCGGCAGCGTTATGGACGCCCTGTGGACTGCTGGGCCATTGGAGTCATCATGTATATCCTGTGAGTGGATGGGTAGATAAGCAGGCTTGTAGACAGGTGGGTTGGGGGCCTGTTTCTGTGGCCTTCCTATGTGACCCTTTTCCCATGCAGGCTTTCAGGCAACCCACCCTTCTACGAGGAAGTGGAAGAAGATGATTATGAAAACCACGATAAGAATCTCTTCCGCAAGATCCTGGCTGGCGACTATGAGTTTGATTCTCCATACTGGGATGATATTTCACAGGCAGGTAAGGAGGTGCCCAGCATATGGGTGGAGTGCAGGATGGTAGGGCAGCTGGCAGCTCTCAGCTCTTTCTGCTAGATTCTGCTCCTGCCCCCCAGTACATTCATCCCCTCTAAACATTGAGATGGGGTGGTCATGCCTAGCTCCTTCCTGGCTTTGTCTCCAGCCAAAGACCTAGTCACAAGGCTGATGGAGGTGGAGCAAGACCAGCGGATCACTGCAGAAGAAGCCATCTCCCATGAATGGTGAGCAGGGCCCAGAGCAGGGTGGAAGAGGCCAGGGTTCTCTTGATCTCTTTCCCTTTCATACCCCCATCTATGAGGCTTTGAGTGGGTAGGGGCACTCAGAACTCAGGCCAGTTTCTAGAGAGTCTGGTTGATCATCCCTGTATCCCACAAGGAAGTGCTACACAGAGCTTCCACAAAGGCCCATTCCCCTAAATCCAGATGTACTTGCACCTATTCCAGGATTTCTGGCAATGCTGCTTCTGATAAGAACATCAAGGATGGTGTCTGTGCCCAGATTGAAAAGAATTTTGCAAGGGCCAAGTGGAAGGTAAGGCTTGGATAGCTCCTTTCTTGGATTAATCCCAAATGCTCTTTCTGACACTTACAGTTTTTTGCCTGTGTTACACCCTAATAGCCACACTCCTGCTTTTTTCAGGCCATCAGATGTGCCTATAGTCACTGTTCTTATCGTAAGCAAGAGTGCTAAGCAGCTGGGTCATTGGCCCTGGGGTATTCAGAGGCAGCTGGGAGTACCATGGAAGGGGCTAGGTTGGCCGTTTCCAAACAATTGGTCCTGCAAGCCTCACCCTGAGCCTTTCTCCACTGTCGTCCTTTCAGAAGGCTGTCCGAGTGACCACCCTCATGAAACGGCTCCGGGCACCAGAGCAATCTGCAGCCCAGTCTGCCTCAGCCACAGACACTGCTACCTCCGGGGCTGCAGGTGGGGCCACAGCTGCAGTGAGTGGAAGTGCCCTAGCCTCTGAGAGCAGTGCTACCCCAGCCGTGGAGGGTGATGCTGCTTGTGCTGCAAAGAGTGATAATATGGCCTCTGCAGACCGTAGTACCACCCCAGCCACTGATGGCAGTGCCACCCCAGCCACCGATGGCAGTGTCACCCCAGCCACTGATGGAAGCATCACCCCAGCCACTGATGGGAGTGTCACCCCAGCCACTGACAGGAGTGCTACCCCAGCCACTGATGGGAGAGCCACACCAGCCACAGAAGAGAGCACTGTGCCCAACGCCCAAAGCAGTGCCATACCGGCCACTAAGGCAGCTGCCACCCCTGAGCCGGCTATGGCCCAGCCGGACAGCACAGCCCCAGAGGGCACCAAAGGCCAGGTTCCACCCTCTAGTAAAGGGGAAGAGGCTGCTGGCTATGCCCAGGAGTCTCAGAAGGAGGAGACCAGCTGAGGGGGCAGCCTGGTTGGGGGTGGAGGTGGGAGATGGGTAGGAGGGTGGGAGTATGGATGAGGGGCTTCTCACTGTACATAGAGTCACTGGCATGATGCCCTCACTCCCCATGCCCCCGCATCCCTGTGGGGCATTCCTGGGGGCCACAGGAGAGCAGTCTCATCTCCTGTGTATGTGTGTGAGTGGTGGGCAGGCCAGAAGCAGGGCCAGCCCCAGCCCCTGCATGGATTTCTTGTGGCTTTTCTGTCTTTTGTTAGCTTCACCAGTTTCTGTTCTTGTGAGATGCTGCTCTAGGGATACTCAGGGGGCCTCTACTCTCCTTCCTCTTCCTCTTGTCTCACCATTCCCCTAGGCAGGCCCTACAGGTTCCATAATCTCCCAGGCCCTAAACTTGGGTGGCCTTGCCCTGAGAGCTGGTCTTCCAGCGAGGCCCTGTCAGTGGTTTTAGGCTCCTACACATGAAGGTGTGTGCCTGTGGTGTGTGGGCTACTCTAGAAGTGTACACAGGCTGGCATAGAGGATACAGAAATCTAGGGTAGTATGTTCAAGTTAAGACTGGTCACATGGCTGGGACACTGCGTGCTAGCTATTGGGGTCCTCAGAAGTGGAAGAGAATGAGTGGGAGGGTAGAAGCTTCCATCTTTATCCCTGGGAAGCCCCTCCTACAACCCTGGGTTATTTCCTGCCCTCCTGAGTTCTTCCCTGTGTTCTTACCTTGAGGAAAAATTAGGATGTGGCAAGGAGGTCTGGGATGGCAGAGTTCAAGCCCAGCACCCAGTGCCCCAGCCTCACTGGGCCCTTACCCTGGGCCAAATAGGAAGGGCTGATATGCTTTTGCTCTTCCTAGATGTCCATCTCCCACAGACTCAGTACACAGTACATTCCATTACAGAGGGCCTACTGCATGCCAAAACTCTCATAGTCTGATTTAGGGGTTTGGCATTTACAAGAGCAGATGTTCTATTCTCAGTTCAACAGTGAAATGGAGAGGAACCCCCTCTATTTTTACAGCTACTTCTAGCAGAGGCCCAGGTGCCTCTGACCCATATTGAGTTGCTTTTGCTGGGATGAGGAAGTAGAATAAGACTCCCCAGTTCCCTGAGGGAGGCTCCTGACAGGTCCCTTTGTCAGACCCTACCATAGCCTGGACAGGCAGCCACACTGGTCCTCAGCCCTTGCTCGGCACTCTGTGGTGGTCCTGCCCTTCTCCCTGCATGCCTGTGGGTCTGCTCTGGTGTGTGAAGGTCAGTGGGCTGTGTGCCTGCTGAACCTGGCAAATAAAACATCACCCTGGAAAGTCTCTGGCCACCCTTTTGCTTTTACTTCCTCTGTGCTACTGTGGCGGAGCCCCTGGAAGGCAGTGGGGAGGGGAGAGGCTGGGACCAGATTCACAGGTAGTGGCTAGTGCTCTATGCCCTGTGGATTTTCTGGGCTGAGAGTGAAGATCACTCAACCCACAGTGCATTCCTAGATGGTTGTGGTGGGGGTCATCTAGAAATCCATGTAGGTGGTCAGTCCTAGGTTGGGATTGGGCCAAGTAATACCTCCTGGGCTGAGAGTTGAAGTAAGGACTGCTTTTTTGACTACTATTGACCAAGGAGCCTTTTTCTTGATTTGGGCATACAGCTAGAACCCACTTAGGGCCAACTATCATAGGGAGAAATCTTGCTGATTGCCAAAGTGGGCTTCCCTGGGCTCGGGAGAGGGTAAGGGTGGGCCTTGCATAAAGGTTCTGTGCTGCTTTATATATTCCTTCTTCCTGTGAACACTGTGCTTTCCACATAGGCCTAGGGTGAAATCTCATTCAGCAGGAGATCAGCTTTGTTTTTTTTTTTTTTTTTTTTTTTGAGACAGAGCCTCAAGCTGTCCCCCTGGGCAGAGTGCCGTGGCATTACAGCTCACAGCAACCTCCAACTCCTGGGCTCCAGCGAGTCTCCTGCCTCTGCCTCCCAAGTAGCTGGGACCACAGGCGCCCGCCACAACGCCTGGCTATTTTTTGGTTGCAGCCGTCATTGTTGTTTTGGCGGGTCCGGGCTGGGGATTCGAACCCGCCACCTTAGGTGTACGTGGCTGGCGCCTTAGCCGGTTGAGCTATAGGCGCCGAGCCAGGAGATCAGCTTTGTATCAGGCCGCCCTGTATAAGATTTTTTCTGGGGAGAGGGAACACTGTTACAAATACTAAGCATGTGAAAGGCCCTAAGGAGACTAAGGTGGGCCTGGGTGAACTCACCAGGGATACTGCTCTTTTTCAGGGAGGACCTCAGATAACTTCTCTGATACATGAATAATAAAAGGGTTTGTTGGTCCCTGTTTTTTGAAGCTTTTGGGCATCCAAAATTCCAATCCTCCTGCAGTCCCAGGCATAACTGATTCTCATGGGAGATCAGAGCTAAAGTACTGAGTACTGGCCCTAGTGTCTCCAAACTCAAGGATTGTCAGGTCTTGGTTGGATAAAGCAAGGTTGGCCTGAGATGACATAATGGCTTGGGACATATGTGTCCATCTTTCTATATTCTAGAAAGTGGTTCTCAACCTTCCTAATGCTGTGACCCTTTAATACAGTTCCTCTGGGTGCTAGAATTTAGAACCACCTAAAATCAAGGACTGAGAGGGTGGAGTAATCCTTTAGTCTGTGGGAACCGTGAACTGCCAGTGTATGGTCCCACACAGATAGAGCCCAGGGGGGCCCATTGTCTTATCCCTTTGGACTGCAGTCATGACTGCCCCGAAGTGCAGGGGAAAAAGAGCTGAGGGGCTTGGAAACAACGCGTTGCCTTGTGCCAGAACGGGTCTAGGTGGCAGGATCGCTCCTCCTTGCCCGGATGCAACCGGGCGCTCTCGAGGTGGCGGTCAAGTACTTCCAGGAGACGCGCGAGAGAAGCTACGCTCTACCGCGGGATTCAATACGTCGGCTGGGCCGCGAAGCCCAGCCCCTCGGTCCCGCCCCCGAGGACTTGTCCAATCCAGACCAAGCATGCAGGCTCCTCCCCCGGTCTGCCGTTGTAATTTCCTGTGCTTTTCCGGAAGTCGGGCAGTGGAGCCAAATTTGAAGCTACGGGAGATGTAGGGGCGGGGCCTCGAAGCTGGACCGGTTGTAGTTTCCTTAGCTACCTGGTCTCTCGGAGTCCAGCCATCATGCCTATCCGTGCGCTGTGTACTATCTGCTCCGACTTCTTCGATCACTCTCGCGACGTGGCCGCCATACACTGCGGCCACACCTTCCACTTGCAGTGGTGAGTGAACGCGGTGGCGGGACAGGCGTTCGCCACACTACCACTTCGGGTAATGGGGTATCGGGCCTAGAGGTGATCCGTCCCTGGCACCCAGACGAATGACAGCCTTGTTAGATGGAACCCTACAGGAGCGTCTCGACCTGGGCAGAATTGGATTAGGGTAGGCTTTCTGGCGGGTGTAATTGGGCCGAGACCAGGAAATAGAGTGCTTCCTTGATCATCTAGTCTATATAAAAAGATGTGACTTCAAAACTATTTTTTTTTTGAGACAGAGTCTCACTATTCGCCCTCAGTAGAGTGCTGTGCCGTCACAGCTCACAGCAACCACAAACACTTGGGCTTACGCGATTCTCTTGCCTCAGCCTCCCAGTAGCTGGAACTACAGGCTCCCACTACAACGCCTGGCTATTTGTTGTTGTTGTTGTCATAGTTGTTTGGTAGGGGCCAGGCCGGGTTCGAACCCGCCAGCCTCGTTGTATGTGGCTGGCACTATAGCCGCTGAGCTACAGGCGCCGAGCGTGACTTCAAAATTATTAACCTAGTCAGGGTGATCTTCAGCCACATTAACAAGCTCTTTTATTTTCTTCTGGAGGCTTCGGCTATGGGAGAGGGTTTGTTGTGCTTTGCTTGATGGTTTGGAATTGTTTTATCCAGAGTCCGGAGCGTATTCATAGTGCCAGCAAACCCAGCTTGACATGGAAGGGCAAGGAGGTGCTCCCTCTTCCAGGGTTCTTGCTGACAGTGTAGGACCATATTGTTGAGTGTACAATTACTGGGGAAGATGCCCCTAGCAGCTGTGAACTTACTGGTTTGGAGCTAACAGCAAAAGAAATAAGGCAAAATGACTCTGAGGAATGGTGGCTGGTAATGTCACAGGGGGCTTGTGGAGCTAAAGGTCCCAGTAAGCAGAGAGCCCGGCACAGCGCTGATGCTGATGGCTGCTTGGTCTCCTTTAGTTGCAGAGCTTTGTTTAGACTGGTGTTGCTGATAGCCTGGAGCCTCATGCTGATGGAGCATGGCTATACTATTAGACTAGAAATCAAGCTAACCTCTAAGAGTGCTATACATTATTTTCTGTTTGCATGTTCTGTTTTTTTCCTATTTTTTTACTTTAAACTTTTCTGTGTACTTAATGTTTTACATGTGTTTCTTCAAAACAGTATTTAGTTGGATTTTTTTTTATTGTTAAATCATGTTTGTGCACATTAATACTATCATGGGGTACAGTGTGTTGTTTCCATATACAATTTGAAATACTTGCAGTTTTTTGAAATACTTTCAGGATTTTTTTTTTTTTGATAGAGTCTCACTCTCAACACTAGCGTGCCATGGCCTCAACCTAGTTCACAGCAACTTCAAACTGTGTTCAAGCAATCCTCCTGCCTCAGCCTTCCAAGTAGCTGGGACTATAGGCACCTACCATGACACCTAGTTAATTTTTCTATTTTTGGTAGGGATGGAGTCTCACCTTTGCTCAGGCCCGTCTGAACTCCTGAGCTCAAGGGATCTTCCCACACAGTGTCCCAGTTTGCTAGGATTACAGGCATAAGCCACTGCCCCTCACCTCCCTGCCTTGTTGAATATTTTAAATCCAGTCTGATGGTTTAGTCTGAATTTTTAGTTCACTTAAAATTATTGCAATTGGCTCAGCGCCTGTGGCTCAAGCAGCTAAGGCGCCAGCCACATACACCTAAGGTGGCAGGTTCGAATCCCCAGCCGGGGCCTGCCAAACAACAATGATGGC